CTCCTCCTCCATCTCCTCCTCCTCCATCTCCTCCTCCTTCATCTCCACCTCCTCCATCTCCTCTTCCCCCATCTCCTCCTCCTCCTTCTCCTCCTTCTCCTCCATCTCCTCCATCCCCTCCTTCCTTTTACCCTCCAAGTCTTCCTCTGTCTCCTCCTCCATCTTTTCTTTCTTCTTTCTCTTTTTGTAGTCCTCGGGACAGAAGCCAAGGTGCCGTTCATGTCCTGCTGTGTCTCTGGAATACATGGCACCCAGTTCCTCTTCAGTAGCTTGTTTCTGGTGCAAGGTTTTGGAGTCCCACATGGGTCAGGTGGTTCTTCATATGGGACTAAATCACTCAGGCAACCCTAAAGTCCCTTAAATTGGCTGTAGCAGAAAGACCATTAAACCCCACAAGTCGGCTGCGTGCCCCCGGGTGTCCCTGGCTCCGCAGTTGTTACAGGGTTGCACACACTCTCAGAAGCGTGGTGATGTGGCCAGCAGCCTTCTGGACCTGTGTTTTGCTCAGGAAGCTGAGCTTTCTCTCTCTGGCCTGTCCCTCACACTCTGCAGAGGTGGGCTGGGCTCCAGTGGAGACCTGCTGCTGGGGGTGTCACCTGCTGGGTCTGCAAGCCTCGAGCAGATGGGAGGGGAGGTCGGTAGGTGTCTGTGATGCTTGCACACAGCACCCTGATCCTGGCCACTCGGAGGCCAGGGCCAAGCTCTGTGACAGATGGAGTCTGGAGGTCCCATGAGGCCTACGCCAGAAGTGATGTGTTTACCGATGTGGACACTCAAGTCTAACTTCTGGTTTGAGGATTTGGAGCTATAATTGGTAGACTCAGGGATTATTTATTTAAGGTACACACACCTGTGTGGTCTTCCCATGATTCACCCAGGGAATTTACATAGGTCCAGAATGGTCCATCTCTCTGAGGAGGCCTTCTTTGTGTAACACATGCAGCCTTTCTGCGCTCTGCCACCCTGGGCTCGGCCTGTCATGGACACTCTGGCTTTCTTGTCTGGGTCCTCTGTATCACCTCCCTCCTGCTCTTGGCTGCATGATGCTCCAGTGTGCGGGTCACCAGGACAAGCATGCACTGTGGAGTGTTGGCACAGCCACCATGTCTCCGTTTGCTGCTGCTGCTGCCGCTGTGTAACAGGCATCTGAAGCTCTACACCACACTCCTGCATGCACCTACGCCCGCTCCTGAGGGTGTGTGTGGAGACAGAGGGCTACCAGGATCACATGGTCACACAGTTCTTTAGAGGGTGTCTCCTTCCCTGCCCAGGCCTCCTCTCAGAGACAGAGCAGGTCACCTGTCCTGCATGGGACCGTCAGCTACCAGGCCCTGAACAGTTGAGCAGTGTGGCCATGGGGTGTGACGGTCTCATTCCACAGTGAGGGACCCTTGCAGGAGTCTGGCAGAGGTAGCTACAGAGGACAGCTGTGCCAGGGCAGGGTGGAGGAGTAGAGCAGGACAGGAGGCCTCCGTGTCACCCAGTCAGCTGGTTGGAGTGAGCTAGTGGGCAGCTCCCCACACTCACAGTGACAGCAGAGTCAGGGTCGAGGGCCTGTGACCTCCCTGGCCAGAGTTTCTGTTTCCTGTCCATTCCAACCCCTTTCCGGCTGGTACCCCTCAGCGGCCGCAGCCCGTGTCTGTGTGATGGTGAGGTGCTTGTGATGATGGAGACACAGCTTCCAGCCTCCCCAGGAGAAACCTGCCATAAACTCACCCAGGGTCACAGCCGTGGGGTAGCAGACATTGGACTGGAGCTTGAGGGGTCATTGCATGGCCCCCGTAAGTACAGTTGCCACTTGCCTGGGTGCCACTCGCAGATGTGGGCTGACGGCCTCACACACCGCACCCAGAGCCAGCTGGTGCCCCCGCCTCCCCTCCTCCCTAACTATTTTTAAACATAATTTCCTGGAAAACGGGGCTGCTCTCTCAGAAGACAGTTGGCTGAGAGGAAAGAGTCTGAGCTGTGTCAGGGCCACTGAGTGTCTCTGTCCCTCTCCTGACCCCATCCACAGGGGCTGTCTTGACTCTTGTGTCAGCCAGTAAGCTCATAGCCCGTGGTCCACGTAGGGTCTATGCTTGGCTACAGGTGGAGCAGGTGACTCTGGACCTCAGAATGTCACCTGCAGCCCTGAGAGCTGCTGCCAGCATGGCTGAATTCTTCCTTGCTGCCCCAGCCTTGCCGTCGAAATGACTGAAAGGTTCCCCACCATCAGCCACCACGGTCCCCATTCCCTGTCAGGGTCAGAGTGTCCTGTGGTTGTGTTCCTGTGTCCAGCTGCGCGGAGCATCTGTCACAGGCCCGTCCTGTGCACTGCGAGCCTGCATCCCTTAGCTGATAGCCTCTACCTCCCCTGAGGAACCAGCAGTAACACCGGGCTTGGAGATAGAGTCACCTCATCCCAACACCCATCTTTCCATCCGCAAGTGTCTCCCTCGAGACTGTGAGAGACTCCTGCGACCCTTTGCCGTCCTCGGACCCTGGGTCACAGGTGCCGCACACAATCCACCGAGCGCTGCGTTTGAAACCCGTGCAGACACAGTACGTGCTCCCATCTCTGTCTGTGATCCAGACACCACAGTGAGCCTGGGGTGGGGATGAAATACCACCCCAGGGCAGGGGAAGAAGTCACCCCTGGGTACAGACACACAGCCTGGAACAGGAGTGGCTAAACAGTGGATAAAGGGCTTACTACACAAGTGAGAGGAACTAAGTTTGCCTCCCTAGTACCCAGGTAAAAAGCTGAGTAAGCCACACAGCTGTTAACCCAGTGCTGGGGAGATGGAAGCAGGAGGATTCCTGTGGCTAACGGATGCTAGGCAGCCTAGTAACGGTGAACCCCAGGCTCAGTAAGAGACCCTGACTCAAAACCAAAGGCACAGCCAGCCGTGACGATGCACGCCTTCAATTCCAGTCCTCGGGAGGCAGAGGCAGAAGGATCTCTGTGAGTTCAAGGCCAGCCTGGTCTACAGAGTGAGTTCCAGGACAGCCAGGGCTACACAGAGAAACCCTGTCTCAAAAAACCAAACCAAAGAAGCAAAACAGAAAGCAAGATGGAGAGGAACTGAGGAAGGTCTGGCCTGGGCCTGCGCCCTCCACACTGACTGTGCTCTTCCTCTCCAGGTATGACCCAGAAGAAGCCTGGCCTTGCAGAGGTGAGTCCTTGCCCGAGAAGGCATGGGCTGTGTGCTGCTGTGTGTCCTGAGGCTGTGCTCAGCACTTCTCTAGACCCAAACACTGTTGAGTGTGTCAGGGAAGGAGGGCAGTATTGTGTGTGTGTCGGGGGTGGTGGGTAGTGCCACTATCGGCACAACAAGAGGCTGGGGCCTTGGTCACCTAGCCTGGGGTCAAGGACACCACCACCTGCCACTTGACAGTCCTGAGTCCATGGTGGGACAGTTTGTCCTCGGGCCCTCAGACCAGGGAGGAGGGGGTCCTGGGACACCCCGGAGCCTGCAGAGCTTCCGAGAGGGGAGCTAGGCTCTAGTGTCCTGACGGTCGGGATAATCTGCGTTCCTGGGAGCAGCGTGCCCCCTGGTGGCAGGTGTAGAGAACCACAGGCAGCTTGGCCCTGGTGACACCCCAGCCCACAGCACAGCAACCCCTGCCTCCCAATCCCTCTGCTTCTGCAGCTCCAGAACCTTCTGGCTACCTTCCCAAAGTGATTTTGGTCCCTGTTCCCCAGGCCCCCTTGGTGACAGGGCAGCCAGGCCCTGGCCATGGGAAGAAGCTGGGCCATCGTGGCGTGGATGCGTCGGGAGAGACTACGTATAAGAAGGTAGCCGAGACAGGTGTGGGGGCTGAGAAGGGCCCCCCCGTGGCTGGCCCACAGCTCCTGCGGGCACCAGGGCCCACAGCCTTCCTGCGTGGATGGGGGGTTGGTGAGAGAGGCAGCACCATCCAGTCTGCTAGAGTGTTCACCAGGATGGACGTGACACAGGCCCTGCTGTCCAGTCCCAGGAGCACTGTGTCACCCCACCCCTCTGAGCGCACTTGTGTTGTGGTGTGGAGCCCCTGCCCAGTGTGGCTATGGAAGGCAGCTGCCAGCTGGATCTCCCCAGTGCAGCACGGGGGTGGGGCGTGGGGGCGCTGCACAGCACAAGAGGCCACCAGGGTCCTGATGCCACCACCCCTCCCCACAGACCACCTCGTCCACCCTGAAGGGTGCCATCCAGCTGGGGATCGGGTACACGGTGGGCAACCTGAGCTCTAAGCCGGAGCGTGACGTGCTCATGCAGGACTTCTACGTGGTGGAGAGTATCTTCTTCCCCAGGTAGGCCAGGCGCCACAGCGCCACCCTTGACAGCTGCGTTCCGAGTGCTAGCTGTTACCAGCAAGGCTGGCTGTGCTCTTACCTACAAGTATTTTGGCCACAGGAAGAGACACACATGGTGTCTGCCCCACTTGCATCTCCTTGGCCAAAGCTGGTCTCATGAACGTAGCTAGCTGAAGGTGGTTCCGGGTTCTGGCCCCAAAACCCACTCAAAAGCCGGGCCTGGTGCTTGTCTCTCAGTGCAAGGGAGGCAGAGAGTTCACGGCCACACAAGCAGTCTTCAGAAAATGCCGTGGAAAGGTGTTGACCTCTGACCTCCATGTGCTGTCAGGGCAGGAGAGATGATTGTTGGGGTATATCCTGAAGCCAGTCAAAATACCCCAAGTGGTTTGTGGCGTTGTGTATGGGACACATGGGGAGAGGCACCCGAGAAAGGCACCACCCCTCACAGCTCTCCTCTGTGTCCTCCTCTGCAGTGAAGGAAGCAACCTCACCCCCGCCCACCACTTCCAGGATTTCCGATTCAAGACCTATGCACCTGTTGCCTTCCGCTACTTCCGGGAGCTCTTCGGTATCCGTCCGGACGACTACTTAGTAAGTGTCAGTAAGCATCACCAAGTAACAGGTCCCCAGGCTGAAGCCTGAGAACAGCGGCTGCGTGCCCCTCCCAGGGCAGGAGCGTGCACTGCTGCTGGGTTCCGGTGGGCAGAATAGAGAGATGGAGGTCTGTGACCCCTTTAAGGACACACCTCCCTGTGACCTCCCATCCTCTCCTGGGCTCCACACTACCCATGAGCACACACTGGGGACCAGGTCTTCAGCCATGGGGTCTGGCTTGACCCTGCCCCCATGGGCCTTCTCATGGCAGCCTGCCCTGTTGTGGTTTCTCTGGTCCTTATTCACTGGCTCCTGTTGGGTCGGTCCCAGTTTCCAGGAGGCTGTGGATTCATCTAGAAAGAGCAGCTGGGGCTTCAGGCCTAGAGTATCTTTGGTCAAGAGGCCCTTGGGGGAAGTGACCTTGGGGTCCAGACACAGGGATAGTTCGGTCAGTTCCCAGGAGGGTCCTGTCCCACCCAGTGACCATGAGGGTACACGCCCAGCACTGCGGGACAGGGATGCAGCCAGGTGTGGGCGTCCCTGCCTTTCAGAGATATATATGGCTCACCACAGTGGGTGGAGGACAGACAGATGGCCAGGCTGGGGAGCGGGTGCAACATGGCTTCGACATGTGTCCCTACGCGTCAGCGTCCCCCTGGAGTGTGGGGAAGACTGACGTACAGAGATGGCACATGAAGGTCGGCTGGCAGGAAGTGGGAAGGAACGTGGCTGAGGGCCCGCGTGCACACGGCCTCCGCCTTGGAAGGTGCCCGTGACCCAGCATGGCTGCTGGGTTGTGGCCCTCACACTGAGGTTCCAGGTAGGGCAGAGGTAGGAGGGAGAGAGGGTTACCCACTGCCAGGCGTGTCCGAGCAGTCCGCACAGCCCATGTCTGTGGCAGCAGAAGGAGGCTGGAAGCCTGTCACACTCTCCATACACGGTGCTCGTACGCGTCTGGGGGCGGGGCAGACAGCCACACCCCCTCACGCATCCTGCCTCTGCCCTGCAGTACTCGCTGTGCAATGAGCCGCTCATCGAGCTCTCCAACCCCGGGGCCAGTGGCTCCGTCTTCTACGTCACCAGCGACGATGAGTTCATCATCAAGACTGTCATGCACAAGGAGGCGGAGTTCCTACAGAAGCTGCTGCCTGGTTACTACATGGTGCGCGTGCGCGGGGCGGGGGCAGGAGTGGGAGCTGGGCTTCTAGAACATTCTCACAGGCTCCAGCATGGGGAAGTATCCAGGAATGCCCCCCTAGTCCTCCCACTGTGCCACGCCCCTCGAGCTCACAGCAGCATCTCCTCAGGAGCATGAGGGCGAGGGCTGCAGTGAGCCGTGGGCACAGACTGCTTATGAAAGGCCAGTGGTAGCCGGGCCGTGGTGGCGCACGCCTTTAATCCCAGCACTTGGGAGGCAGAGGCAGGTGGATTTCTGAGTTCGAGGCCAGCCTGGTCTACAGAGTGAGTTCCAGGACAGCCAGGGCTACACACAGAAACCCTGTCTCGAAAAACCAAAAAAGAAAAAAGAAAAAAAGGCCAGTGGTGCAGGGCCTCCTCCACTAAACAGAGCCAGACTTCTAGTCCCAGCTGGGTTGGACCAGGAGTGTGACCACCGGGGGTAGCTCATTCTTCCACTGAATGATGCCCAGGTGGGACCCCAAATGTCCTGAGCTCAGGAGCCAGTGACTGTGTGCCTGGGATGGGATGAGAGCTCAGGCCCTCAGAGACATGGAGAGACCCCAGGCAGGAGCTTTAGCCAAGGGCGGCTCGGGGAAAGGCAAAGGCGCCTGTCCCTGGCCTGATCTACCAGACTACGTCACAGGAAAGCACAGTGTAAGGAAAGAAGTGACTCCTGACTTGTACGTGTGTGCTATGCCATGCAGCCTTACTCGTGTGCACACACACTAGTGAATGCTAAGAAGCAGGGTGTGCTAATGAGACAGCAGCTCCAGACTGACAGACACCCTGTCTGCAAACCAAGGAACAAACAAGAGTGTCAATAGGAACTGGAGAGGTAACCCAGTGGTTAGAGTACCAGCGGCTCTCACAGAGGACCTGGCCTCAGTTCTCAACACCCAGCGTAGATGTGCAGCTGCCCACAGCCGTGGGTCCAAGGGATCCGATGCCCATTTCTGCCCTGTGGGCACCAGGCACACACAACATGCATATTCACACACGTAGGCACACACTCATGCACATAAAGTAAAAACAGCCAGGACAGCGCCAGATAGTGTTGTATACACCTTTAATCCCAGCACTTGTCAAATCTGAGTTCGAGGCCAGCCTGGTCTACAGAGTGAGTTCCAGGACAGCCAGGGCTACACAGAGAAACCCTGTCTCGAAAAACCAAAAAAAAAAAATCAAAAGAAAAAAAAACAATGAGAGGGGCTGGGGCGTGGTCAGGGCTGGAGCCCCGCCTAGAGTCCCCAGTGAGGGGCTGGGGTGGAGTGCAGGTGGACAGTCGGGAAGCCATCCCCCACTCTTCTGTGATCTGAGGGTCAAGCCGGATGTTGGTCACCCACTGAAGGATGGCTCCTTTTCCTCACCCTACAGAACCTCAACCAGAACCCGCGGACGCTGCTGCCCAAGTTCTATGGGCTGTACTGCGTGCAGTCTGGTGGCAAGAACATCCGCGTGGTGGTTATGAACAACGTGCTGCCCCGTGTCGTTAAGATGCACCTCAAATTCGACCTCAAGGGCTCCACGTACAAGCGCAGGGCCAGCAAGAAGGAGAAGGAGAAGAACCTGCCCACCTACAAGGACCTGGACTTCATGCAGGACATGCCTGAGGGGCTGCTGCTGGACTCAGACACCTTTGGCGCCCTGGTCAAGACGCTGCAGCGAGACTGCCTGGTAAGCCTCGGCCCCGCCCTCACCCGGAGCTGCTGGAGCTCAGGAGTGGAACCAGTTCGCGCTGGTGATTCCTATTGTCCCAGCTCTTGGAAAGCTGAGGCAGGAGAGTCACGCAGGCTAGGGTCAAAGCTTGGATAAGTGAAGCTGTCTCCGTACAGAAGATGAAGATGGGCTGCGGTGGTCTCGGGGTTGGTGTTTGAGTAGCACCTTGGGGCTCTCAGAGTCGAACCACCAACCGAGGAACCTGCGCAGGCTGGACCCAGGCCTCCCGCTCACTTGTAGCAGGTGTGCAGCTTGGCCTTCTTGTAGCTACCAAACAGCTGGAGCAGGGCTGTCCCAAAAACTGTGGCCTGTCCGTGGGATTGTTCTTCTAGCTGGGCTGCCTTGTCTGACCTCAGTGGGAGAGGAAGTGCCTAGTATCTCAGGGACTTGAAGTGTGTGTGTATGTGGGGGGGAACAGAGGGGGACCCCCACCCGCTCAGAGGAGAAAGGGAGAGGAGAAGGATTGTGTGAGGTGGTGACCAGGAGGGGGCAGTAAGCAGGACATAAGTGAGTAAGTAGAAAAGTAAAAGTTAAATTTTAAAAAAGAAACAAGGGGATAACATATGAAATGTAAATAAAATATCTAATAAAAAAATGTTTAAAAAAAAAAAAAGAAACAAGGAATTAGTGGGTAAAGAGCTCAAGAGGGTCGAGACCCTGCCCTCTGTGAGGAGAAGTTCCTGCCTCCTGGGGATTCTGGAAGGAGTCTCGGGAGTGGCAGGGACAAGTGTAGGGAGAGGACACAGCACAAAGACTGAAGGAAGTCCGAGCCAGGGGTAGCAATGCGTAGCAACGTGTGCCTGCCATTCTGCAGCTGGGAGGCTGCAGCGAGGAATGCCACCTGTGGGTTTCAGTCTGAACTACATAGTGTGAAGGGTCTCACGTAGCCCAGGCTGTCCTGGAACTTGCTATATAGACCAGTCAGGACCTAGAGATAGTTCTGCCTGCCTCTGTCTCCCAAGTGCTGAAATTAAAGATGCGCACCAAACAAGGCCTACCTAAAAGCAGTCTCTTAAGTTCCTGACTCCTGCAAAGTTGGAGGGGGGGCAGGCATCAGCAGTCAGCACCCTGTCTTCTGAGTCGATGGCTCTCAGGCTCCCTGAAGGACCAGCTCAGGGGACCTGTCAGCTCTGCTGCCTGTCCTGAGCGGATCTGGCTTCCAGTCCTGAGAGTCACACACTGCACCCCCCACCCCCAGGACCAAGCAGCCTCATCCTGGACCAAGCCCTCCATCCAGGAGACTTAAGTCCGTCCCCTTCGGGACCCTGTTGGTCCTGATAACACTAGGGCACCTTTGCCAGGGTGCTGGGTCCCCATTGTGTTTGGGTTGGCGGCTGCACCACCTGTCCCCTGACCTGTGTCCCCTGACCTGTGTCCCTAACCTGTGTCCCTGACCTGTGTCCCCTGACCTGTGTCCCCTGACCTGTGTCCCCTGACCTGTGTCCCTAACTTGTGTCCCTGACCTGTGTCCCCTGGCCTGTGTCCCCTGACCTGTGTCCCTGACCTGTGTCCCCTGACCTGTGTCCCCTGGCCTGTGTCCCCTGACCTGTGTCCCCTGACCTCTGTCCCTTGGTCTGTGTCCCTGGCCTGTGTCCCTAACATGTGTCCCTGACCTGTGTCCCGACCTGTGTCCCTGGCCTGTGTCCCTAACATGTGTCCCTGACCTGTGTCCCCTGACCTGTGTCCCCTGGTCTGTGTCCCCTGACCTGTGTCCCCTGGCCTGTGTCCCTGACCTATGTCCCCTGACCTGTGTCCCTGGCCTGTGTCCCTGGCCTGTGTCCCCTGACCTGTGTCCCCTGGCCTGTGTCCCTGACTTGTGTCCCCTGGCCTGTGTCCCCTGGCCTGTGTCCCCTGACCTGTGTCCCCTGACCTGTGTCCCTGGCCTGTGTCCCCTGACCTGTGTCCCTGACCTGTGTCCCCTGACCTGTGTCCCTGGCCTGTGTCCCCTGGTCTGTGTCCCCTGGTCTGTGTCCCCTGACCTGTGTCCCTGACCTGTGTCCCCTGACCTGTGTCCCTGGTGCTAGGTGTTGGAGAGCTTCAAAATAATGGACTACAGCCTGCTGCTGGGCGTGCACAACATCGATCAGCAGGAGCGAGAGCGCCAGGCCGAGGGCGCCCAGAGCAAGGCGGATGAGAAGCGGCCCGTGGCCCAGAAGGCTCTGTACTCCACGGCCATGGAGTCCATCCAGGGCGGAGCTGCCCGTGGGGAGGCCATTGAGACGGATGACACGTAAGTGTGCTTGCTGGAGCCCCATTCCTTCCACATGGAGTGAAAAGGCTGTCCAGTTAAGAGCCCGACTACAAAGGGGCAGAGCAGCTGGGCACGGGGCTGCACACTTACATCCCAGCACTTGGGGTGGAGGCAGAGGCAGGGGAATCTCATGAGTTCCAGGCCAGCCGGCGCAGCATGGTGAGACTGCGGAACAGAGAGGGCCAGGGGCTTCACAGTGGCCCAGCGGGAGGCCATGTGTTCCCTCTTCATCTAGCCCACACCATGGTCTGAAAGGGAGGGTACCCTGCCCTCAGAGGTGGGAGGGCGAGCTGTCAGTCACAGGCCAGGGATGAGCCTCACCTGTGAGACAAGAACGAGCCGAGGCCTTGTGCGCTGTCTCCTCACCGGCTTGGCTTTGTAGAATCTGCGTGGAGCCCTGGGGGGGCTGGGGGGGGACGACCCGGTGAGCCTGTGGGGCTTCAGCTTCAGGGCTTGGGGCCACTGAGCCATCGAGGAAGGTCACTAACTGGACTGGACCTCATGGGTCAGGCTTGTTGCATCAACTCCTCGGGATGTTTGAGGCAGCCATGCCCTGTGGTGTGTGTATCCATGGAGCCCTGCTGTGGTTGCTCAGGCTGGGCCCCAGGGTAGCTTCTGGCCCCATCTGCTCCCGACATGGTGGTCCCAGAATTGTGAGCCTAGCCCTCCTGGGTTCAGCTGATCAGAGTCTCTCTGCACAGGATGGGGGGGATCCCGGCCGTGAATGGGCGCGGCGAGCGCCTGCTCCTCCACATCGGCATCATCGACATTCTGCAGTCCTACAGGTGCGCGGGCCACGCCCACCTTCCGCACACCCGCCTTGACCCCAGCCCACCCAGTCTTCAGCTGCATCTGGGTTTCACCCCAACTCCAACTACCCCTGTCAGCCCAGCTTGGTGGGTTCCTCTGAGCCCTGCCTCCCAGGCTGGCGTTGGGCCACTGGGCTGACAGTCTCCGTCCCGTTTGTCCCCAGGTTCATCAAGAAGTTGGAACACACCTGGAAGGCCCTCGTCCATGATGGGGTGAGCTCTATTCATTCACTGCACTGAGAGGCCAGAATGGGCCGGGGACATGAAGCCCAGCGTCAGCCTCTGCCCTACCTTCCACAGGAGTGTGCTGAGCTGCTGAGGCACCACGGCCCCTGCCTCGGTGACTCTCACACCCGTGTTCAGGACTCCCATAGGATCAAGGCTTGAACAGAGAAACTTCCCGAAGGGGCTTTAGGACAGGACGGTCCTGGCAGAAGGGTCCAGAGTGTGTGCTGCAGTCAGCTGGCCAATGCTGGTGCGTGTGCGTGCATGACCTCATCCCCTCTCACCTGCTTTCCTAGGACACTGTCTCCGTCCACCGGCCCAGCTTCTATGCCGAGCGCTTCTTCAAGTTCATGAGCAGCACAGTCTTCCGGAAGAGTTCCTGTGAGCCATCACCTGTGGGACAGGGACAAGGGCCAGCGAGTCCCGGCTGGGGTTGGGGGAAAAGTGAGACCAGCCAGGCGAGCGCCAGTGAGCCTGATCTGCAGCCCTGGGCCCAGATGGGCCCCATGTCACCAGTGCAGGCAGGGCTGCACCCAGCCTCCTGTGCAGTCCTGAAGGACGGAGCACAGCACATAGACAACAAGGGAGGGAGAGATGCTGCCTGGAAGCCATGGAATCCGAGGTCATCCCAGTACTGACCCTTGCCCCTTCTGCCTGACTCTGCAGCCCTGAAGTCCTCTCCATCCAAGAAAGGGCGTGGTGCTCTGCTGGCTGTCAAACCCCTGGGGCCCACTGCTGCCTTCTCAGCCAGCCAGATCCCCAGCGAGAGAGAAGATGTGCAGTATGACCTGCGGGGGGCCCGCAGCTACCCCACGCTGGAAGATGAAGGTGACCTGCCAACCTGGGCTCTGGGCACCCAGGAAGCCAGCCTTGAAGGAACCTGGGCACATGGGCTGGGGCATGCCATACAGTGGCTGCAGAGGTCACGGGGCAGCCTGAGCCCAGGAGGTAGTGGGAGATGAGAGGGGCGTACCAGCAGGAAGGAATGGCTGCAGCAGGTCCTGCGACTGCTGAGTGGTCCAGGTTTCTGACACTAACATGACCGACCAGAGTGGACAGGGTAGCTGAAGGACCGTTTACAAGGGCTAGAGCAGAAGGCCAGCTCCTGAGGTGGGCTGCGTGGCATACAGGCTCCTGCTTGCTGCTCCCACAGGCCGGCCTGACCTCCTGCCCTGTACCCCACCGTCCTTTGAGGAAGCCACCACAGCCTCCATCGCCACCACCCTGTCCTCCACCTCCCTCTCCATCCCAGAACGGTCCCCTTCAGACACATCAGAGCAGCCCCGGTACAGGTGGGCAGGGTTCAGGTGGGTGGAGCTGGTGCTGGGAGCAGGCAACCACAGGCCTGTCACCACAGCTCTGACCCAGGTACCCATCTCCTCTGCCTTTCCCACAGGCGGCGCACACAATCCTCAGGCCAGGATGGCCGGTGAGCCCCTTCTTTCCCCATGGCCCCACCCACCTAACAGGCAGCAACATTTGGCACTGAGCTCCAGGCTTCACCCCACAGACACTACAGGCCTGGCCGGCTTCCAGAACCTTCCGACCCTCCTGCATCCCAGTTCCAGACACCAGGGCCAAGCTCCCCAGCGTGCGGGCCGCTGGCCACACAGCCACCTGCTTGTGCTGCGAATGCACTCCAGGCCTCGGCAGGACCCGCAGCTGCTCCCCGGGGACCACCCCAGGCTAGGACTCCCCGGGAACCAGGAATTGCATGCAGCTCTGGGGTCAGGGAGGAGACTGAGGCTGGGCCGTCCTCTGCAGGCCCCAGGAGGAGCCCCATGCGGAAGACCTGCAGAAGATAACTGTGCAGGTGGAGCCCGTGTGCGGTGTGGGGGTCGTCCCCAAGGAGCAGGGTACAGGGTAAGTGCCCCCCTCCCTCACAATGCTGACACTGCAGCGGCCCATCCAGCCCTGCCTGCTCTTAACACAAGGGGACAGGACACCCAGCTGAGTTGTTCATGGCTGTGATCTAAGTAGTGTGTGCCCACCTGTCACCCAAGCACTGAGGCAGAAGGATGATGTCTTAGTTAGGGTTTCTGTTACTGTGATAATTGCCATGACCATAATTTAGGAAGGGAAGGGTTTATTTCCCCTGATAGCTCTCAGGTTACTTTCATCACTAAGGGAAGTCAGGGCTGAAGCTGACTGAGACCATGGAGGTACCTCAGCAGGCTTTTTTTGTTCGTTTGTTTTGTTTTGTTTTCCGAGACAGGGTTTCTCTGTGTAGTCCTGGCTGTCCTGGAACTCACTCTGTAGACCAGGCTGGCCTCGAACTCAGAAATCCGCCTGCCTCTGCCTCCCAAGTGCTGGGATTAAAGGCGTGCACCACCACCGCCCAGCATCAGCAGGCTTTCTTACATACCCAGGACCACCCGCGGGGTGCGCCCCCTCCACAGTGGGCAGGACCTCCCACATCAATCAATAGAGACAACGCCCCACTGACTGGGTGTGGTGGTCACACCTTTAATCACAGCATTCAGGAGGCAGAGGCAAGGCAGTCTCCGTGAGTTTGAGGCCAGCCTGGTGTACAGAGACACTAGGACAGCTGGGCTATGTTGAGAGACCCTGTTTCAAAATAAATGTAAAAGTCAGTAAAAGAAGAAAGAACATACCCTGTAGACTGGTGTGTAGGACAGTGTGGTGGGGGACATTTTCCTCAATTACCAGTCCCTCTTCAGGGATGACTGCTTTGTGTCCAGTTGGCAGAACTGGGCAGCACAGACAGGTATGGGTTGAGACCTATCTTGAAAACCAAAAATAGTGTCCCCTGAGATGGAGAGAGTTGGTAGATCCATTTAGGACTGGGAGGGTGGGCTGTGCACAAAATCATCTCTCACCCCATCCCTGTTCTGTGTCTCCAGAGTGGAGGTCCCCCTATCTGGGGCATCGGCCGAAGCCACTGTGGAAGTAGACGCTGCCAGCCAGGCCTCAGAGCCCGCCAGCCAGGCCTCAGATGAGGAGGATGTGCCCTCCACAGACATCTATTTTGTAAGTTCTCCCACCACCCCTCCCCCAGGCCCCTTTGGCCTTGGCCTTCAAGGCACCTGTGGATAGTCACAACTGCTCTGTCTCTGGTGTGATCACTCTGGGTGGCAGGGCCATTGTCCTCCTCATGGGGACACCTGAGCAAAGACTGAGGCCCTGTGTCTCTGGCAAGCTGGGAGCCCACGAGAAAGCTTTATCCTTCTGGGGTAGGTGACACTCGGGATAGTGGGGCCTAGGGACCCGGTGAGCGGCAGGAGGGCTCCATGCCGCCTGCTCTGTGAGGTGGGTCATGCCGCTTCATGGACAAGGCTAGTTCAGCCCAGGCCTTGCGGATCTGAGACCATCCATGACTTACCCTGTCCACCACAGGGAGAAATACTTACGGTGGTTGCGGGCCCAAAACAGGACTATGCCCATAGCAGGTCAGAGCTGCCGCAGCCCTGGGGTCAGCTGGCACTGTCAGTGTCCTCTCTTGACCCTGGTGCTGAAACCTCATCTGAGGTCTAGGGTTGCCCTCTCCCACTGGGGTCCTCACTTCTCCTTACTAACCCAGCCACTGTCCCTAAGCGCTCCAGTGAGGCCCACACTCCCACCTGGGCAGACATACTGTCTCCCATGTTGGGCCGAGGATGCGTGCGTGTAGCTGGTTTGGACCCGGGAGTGCCCAGGGCTGTGTCCTGGATTAGGTTCTGGCCTTATGGGGTGCCTAGTCCCCGACCCAGCCACACGTCCTGCTTCAGCTGCCTGTGCCTGTACCCGCTCAGCTGCCCACCTGCACCCCTGCCTGGTTCCCGCTTCATCCTCTACCCTCTCCTCTCTTCCTTCCTCCCGCCCGGCCCACTGTGTGGCCAGTTCGCTCATGGGAGATACTGGCTTTTCTCTCCCCGTCGTCGCCAACTGCGGGCCGTGACACCAAACCACACAGGCGCTGTAAGTGACCACAGCCCGCCACGCGTGGAGATGGGGCTCCAGAACACAGCACCCCACATCCTTTCTCTCAAGTGACCGAGGGAAATCACAGCTGTAGTGTAGGTCAGCTGAGCCCCGCCTAGACCAGAGACATGCTGTGGCCCGAGCGCCACTCCCTTTCAACTACCCATCTGCGGCCATGTCACAAGCGTGGGCACTCGTCATCACCCAAGCTTGAGTGTTGCTGAGCCCTGTGCTACAGGGACCGCCGAGCCAGCAGCTGCCCTTCCCTCCTTACATACTTCACAGGAGGAGAAACGGAGGCTCAGGCCACACAAGGAACCACAAGGGCACAGGGTTCAGAAGAACCCCTCCTCCTAGTCCCAACACTCGTCCAAGTGACCTCCCAGGACAGATGACTTGGCTGCAGTGGGCCTCATAGCTGGGCCTGTTACCTCCATTTCAACAATAAGTGCCAGTCTCAGAGAGGCAGGGTGGCCTGCCCAGAGATGCACAGCCCGTCTGTCACCCAGCATTGAGAGATGGAAACGGGACCTGCACTTTGAGCCAGGGACGGCTAAGTTGGGGGGTACAAGGCTGCCCTCTGCAGGGTAGACTGTTAGGTTCCTTGCAGGAGGTAGACAGACCACGGGCGTCTGGCTGGCCTCTGGGGGTGAGACACCCCCACCTCCTTGATCTATCTGCTCTGCACCGGCAGCCTTGTCTGAGGCCCTTCTGTGCCCCACTCCTGGGACTGTGCTCCTTGCCACTGGGAACCCCAGCAGAAGGCAGGGTGACAGCCCAGGACTGGCTCTCTGGTTCCAGTCCTGGGGGAGCGCAGTGAGGCTCCGCTTGGATGGAACTCATGCAGGAGCTATGTCCCTGCACCCACAGTTCTCGGCGGCCGAAACTGCGCTGTTCTGTCCCCCGCGCGCACTCAGCCTGTTCTCTGCAGCAGGCTGTTGGGGCTGTCGAGGGTAGGGTAAGCCCAGGGCACTGGTCAGAACAGGAAGCCCCCCCTTCCCGCTCCACTACAGGCTGGGCAGGTGGGGACCAGTGTAGTGGGACAGACGGGGCACGTGGGGGGAGGAGGGGAGGAGAACCCCGGCCCGCCCTGCCGGCCCTCCTGCACCCTGCTTCGCTGCTCCCGCTGCCGCCGCCGCCTCCCCAGGGCCAAGGGTTGAGGGCAGGTGGCCCTCACAGAGGGAGCCGGGGTTGCGGCTGCTCCCCAGGGTTGGGATCCCCCTCTTTTACTTTCTGTCTCTTCCTTCTGCCTGTCTGCTCCTCGCCCCCTGCTCTTCTGCACCCCTCCTGCACGCGCTGCGCAGCCCACCGACGAGAGGAGCTGGGTGTACTCCCCGCTTCACTATAGCGCGCGGCCCGCCTCCGACGGCGAGAGCGACACAGTAAGTCCCCAGGCAGGGTGGGAGGACAAGGCCGGAGCTCCTCCCCTCCCCTGGTGACTCCCTGCCCTCCTCTTCTAGTTCCTCCCCTTCCTCCGGCGCCTCCTCTCCCTTTGAGCCAACTCTGAGGCTCCTCTTGCTCCAACTCCTCGTCCCTTCCCCCGACTCCTCCCCCTCTGCCCCTCCTTCCCCCCTCCCTCCCCGCTGCTCTAGGCACAGGGATCTCTAGGTGTACCAACCCTGTGACCCAGGAAAACCGGGCTTGGTCTCGGGGCCACCCACACTGTAGCTTCGAGGCTGCACCAGGAAGCTTAGTGGGGGCCTGGGTCCTGCCCTCCCTCACCTGCCCCTCTCTGGTCTTTGCAGTAACTTCTATGCAGTCCCCAATCTGGAGCCCAGCGTCCTTCTGCCACCCCAGCCACTTCCTGGAGGCGCTGCCCCCCACAGGGGCTCAAAGCTCAGAGACATCACCCCGATGGCCCTGGCCCGACCTTGTCCTCTCCCTCCCCACTGACGGACGCCACAGGCCAGGCCCAGCCCCAGGATAGCTCAGGCCGCCATCGCTGCTTCCTGTGCCTGTTGGGGCGGCGACATTTGGAGTACCCATCCTGTATTTATTTTGGGTCTTTTTTTTTTTCTTTTGGACGGAGAGGGAGCACAGGAGTGATTTACTAGGAAAAAGACACACAAAACCCAGGAAGATGCTGCAGCCACAGCCTTAGTGCACCAGGCTCTTCATGTCTCAGTGTTCTGGGGACAGTGGCCAGGTAGCTCCAGTAAAGCCCACACACTCCAGGACTCTTGTTACGGCCTGCAGAGGAGACAGGCCCCACCCCCACCCCCGGTGGCCATCCCAGGTCTATGCTCCTGTGTTGGGTCGCCTCAACAGAGCCCCTCCGTCACCTCAGGTTTGGGACCCGCGCAAACCAGGACTAGTCATGCCCTGTGGTCTTTCTGCATCTGTTTACTGCCACTGCAAGGACATCCTCAAGCATGAATGTCTTGTGGCTACAATCTCCTGATGCTGACTGGGAGGGTCCATACTGTCTGTGTCTCATCCCTATGAAGCCCTGAGCTGGTGCTGTGGGTCCCCTTGACTCCCAGGGAAACCTCTGCCCCAAGAAGGGCACAGCCAGGCTTCTGGCTGCAGAGAGCTGGGTCCTGAGACCCCGGCTGAAGAAAATAAGGGAGAAAGTGACATCACCTCAGCAAAGCCAAGTATGTCCACCGAACACCAGGGGAGTTGTGGCCAGCGGTCTACTCCTCTGGGTACAGTGCAGTGGTGTCATGACCCTGCTTTGTGGACGCTCCACCCACAGTGTGCTGTGGAGGGGTCAGGCTGGACCAGTCTGAAAACTCCAGCGCGGCTTTGGGGTCAGCCGCATGGGCTGCTTGGATTGCACCTTCAGGGACAGAGGTCAGGACCTGGCTGGCTTCCAGGGACTGCAGGCAGCCTGTGGAGGCAGTGAGGGGCATGACACCCCTGTCATGGCCAGAAAAGGCATGGCCAGGGAGAGGACCCATGCTGGGGGATGGGGAGGCAACAGTAGGAGAGACGGACAGATGCCTGGCCCTGGACCTCACGTCAGTCCCCTTCCTGTTGTGGAATGCACAGTGAACTGCTGTGTGAGTTAATTCAGGGGCTGCAAAGGCAGCATTGGGCCTTGCACAGACACTGCAGGCATAATGTCGCACCTGTCATCCCAGAAAGTCAAGGCAGGAGGCTTGTGGCAAGTTCCAGGCTAGCCTGAGCTACAGAGTGAAAAAGAGGCCAAAAGAAAAAATCACAGGGCTGGCCCTCCCACTCAGTGGGCAGAGCTCATCCAGCTGCAAAAGCCCTGAGTTCCATTCCAGCACCACAGAAACCAGATGGGGTGGCACACAGCTGCCATCCCTCACGTGGGAGGCAGAAAGAGCAGAGGTGCAAGGCCATCCTTGGCTACAACCAGTTAGAGGCCAGCTCGGGCTACACGAGACCCTCTCAAAAGAGAATCTGTAAATACCTTTGTGACTCCCATCTTGTCCCCCATCCTGTTCTCCCCAACAGCCGCTATCGCCCCACCGTGGACGGCGTGCGAACTGTACTGTAAGGCCTGGGGCCGCCTCCAAGGCTGAAGAGGTGCCCCCCAAGCCCGCCTCTGTTCTCAAGCCATCCCAGCAAGTCCCCTGTCCAGCCCCACACAACATAGTGCAATATGCCCTCCCCGTGGGGTCCCTTGGCACGGTACTGTCTCCGCAGCCCCTTGTCTCGCACCCCTAGCTCCCCTCTCTCGGGTGGTTAATAAGCGCATCGCACATCCTCCCCCAGCCCTGTTTTTACTGTTGAATTCATCCTGTAAACTGCAAACCTCGTGTGTCTTACCTTTAGGACAGGGATCCAGGGTCCTCAGCCCATGTGGTCTGGTGTTTGACAATCCAAGTACAGTGTCCCCTTGGCGCTAGCCAGAGGGGCCTGTCCCTCCAGCGCAGCCGGCACACGTATGCAGCCCAGGTTCCCGCCCCACAGGTCACAGCCCCTCTTTTTGATCTGTAATAAATCTCTAATAAGAAACACGCGTCCCCGGTGACTTCTGCGTGAGTGAGGGGAGAGCAGGTGGAGGCGAGGCATGTGTCTTGTCGCCCCCGTTCTAAACCCTCCCCGGACCCCACAGGACAGTTCCAGAATCGCAGATGACGTCCTCTCTCCAAGTGTGAGCTTCCCTACCCAGAGATGATCCACAAGTTGAGCGCAGTGTCACAAGCTGGCCGCGGAGTACTCGGCACGTCCGGAGTCAGCCAGAGCCGGTCCGTTCCCGTCCTGGGTTTTATTAGCGCGGACTGGTTGCTACCGGGCTACCCCAGGACTCCGAGGCCTCCCGGCCTTTGGGGCTCAAGTTTCAGTTTTTAGAACTCGCGGCCCCGCACGTGTAAGCGCCGCCCACTCTGGCCACGCCCCTTTGATGCCCCATTCGGGGCCCAGCAAGACCCCCGGCGCGGTCTCTGGGTTCATCGGCCCCGCCCTCAGGTCCAATGAGTCGCTCTGGCCTCCACGGCCCCGCCCACCCGCCGCGGCTCCGCTTCCTCCCACTCCTCAGTCCGAAACGCTCGACTACGCGTCCTGCCCGTATCTATTCACAGTTCGTGGTTACACATGTCAATCTTACCTCAGCCCCGAGTCCGCCCGCTCAGGTCCTGTCCTCCGCCTGTCAAATCTAGCTTACTAGACCCCGCCCACACCGGCTCCCGTAACTGCCATTCCCGTAACTAGGCCCCGCCCCGCTCAGGTCCCTGGTCCGGTCTCCGGTTCTATAACTGTCGATCTCCATAAGCCCCGCCCAACACAGCTCCACTTTTTTCCTGTAATCTCCTCCGCTAGGTCCCGCCTCCCCAGGCCCCGCCTCACGCAAGCCCCGATGTTCTTGACCCCGCCCACTACGCGCCTCTTCCGCACTGTGACAACCGCCTCCTAGTTCCGCCTCCCTAAGCGCTCCGCTCGCAGGCCCCCTACGGTGCGAGGACCCGCCTAAGTCAGTCTCTCTCACTGCCTGAATGGAGCATCAGTCCGCTGGTTCTAACGGCGTCCCGTTAGAAATTCACCATGCGTGACAAGTTTGAGAACTCCGGAGAAATCTCGGGTTATGTCGTCCCTGGAGTCCGGGGTAAAGGGAGTAAGTTACTCCCTGGGATCAGGCGCAGTTTGGGCAGTCCTGAGCGCGCCGCAGCAAAAGAAAGCCCCCGGCGCCAAGCTTCCTGGTTGTTTACGCAGGCGCATGCGCGGCGCGGGCCGCCAAATGGGTCGGGACTCTCGCTCGCGCTCACGGTCTGCGGGTCGCAGGGGTCGGAAGCAGCGGAGTCGGAGCCGCAGCCGGAGCCGGAGCCATGGGCGGAGCAGCCGAAGGCGACGGGAACACGAGCGGCGGCGGGAACGCAAGCGGCGTAGCCGAGGGCGCAGGTGACCGGCCTGGGAGCTGAGGGGCAGGCGGGGCGTGAGCCGAGTGCGAGTCTGCCGGGCTGCGCCGGGGCAACGGAGACTCCTGGGGACCCCGGGGCATGAGCGCAGGGGACTGAGTGGCCACACTCGCCACCCATCTGTTCATAGCCACTGTCTTGTCCTAGGCTGGCAGAAACTCAATGTGTAGCTCAGGCTGGCCTCTGGAGTGCTCGGGGTTACAGATATACGTCAAAGGCTGTTGCCTCATAGTTAAGGGTTTTTGCATTTCTTCATAGTTAATTCTGCTCAGTTGACGTTCATTCTTCTCAGGTCGCTGTACTTGTAACAAGTTGACCAAAGTCTAATCAAGACACCGTTCATAAAACACTGGGATACAAGCTCAAATAGCATCATCTGTCGTTTTCTGTGGGTACTGGGGATTCAAACTCGTGACCTCAAAATACTACCTGGTGGTGCTTTTTCCTCTTTCATGGTTCCTGGGCTGTCAGAGAATCCCTCTGTTGGGCCTCTCGTCGTCGTCTGTCATTTCTCATCTCTTTTACCTGACAGCTCAGCAGGGCTTGAGGGCACCGTACACACCAGAACCCCAGCACTTAGGAAACAGACAAGAGCCAGCCTGACTATAGAGTTCCCACCTGACAGAGCATCATAGAGATCGTGGGATTTTTTTAAAGATTTACCTATCTCGTGTATGTGAGTACATTGTCGCTGTCTTCAGACACACCAGAAGAGGGTATCGGATCCCATTACAGATGGTTGTGAGCCACTGTGTGGTTGCTGGGAATTGAACTCAAGACCGATGAAAGAGCAGTCAGTGCTCTAACCATCGAGCCGTCCCTCCATCCCCGTAGAGATCATAAACAAGCACTCAGAAAGCAGAGGCAGAAGGTCTCTGAGTTCCAGGACAGCCAGGGCTACACAGAGAATCCCTATCTTGAAAACCCACATAAGAACCACCCCCTCACTTCCAGCCTTTAGTTCCCTTGCCATATTGTCTGTTATGGCCCTGGGACTTGTGTAGCCCTACTATGAAGGGCAGCCTAGTTTGTGTGGGAACCTATGTGATTTACAGGTTGGTGAGGCTGCAAAGGCAAGTGCTCTGGTGTTGGTCTTGGTTGTGGCCCCAGCACCTAGGATGGTTCCCCAGCAGCAGCCAGCACTGAGAGGTCTTGGTGTGTCCTCCACACAGGTCAGATTCGGAAGGAGACCGGCGGCAGAAGTCTAGTAGGCGGAGCCTTCGACCGCCCCGATGGCACTCACAGGACCAGTCCTCACACTCTGACTCGGGTGAGGAGCGGGCACAGGGCTCCCGGGCCCGGAAGGGTCACAGGCGCTCGTGGTCCCCGGGGTCACCAGCATCCAGCTCGGACTCCCCGAGACGCTCCCGGAGTCCTGGAGCAGCTGCCCTGGCTGTGAGCCAGCAGCAGAGCCTGCAGGAGCGGCTGCGGCTTCGTGAGGAGCGGAAGCAGCAGGAGGAGCTGCTCAAGGCCTTCGAGACGCCCGAGGAGAAGCGTGCTCGGCGACTGGCCAAGAAGGAAGCGAAGGAGCGCAAGAAGCGGGAGAAGATGGGCTGGGGCGAGGAGTACATGGGCTACACCAACACCGACAACCCCTTCGGGGACAACAACCTGCTGGGCACCTTCATCTGGAACAAGGCCCTGGAGAAGAAGGGCATCAGCCACCTGGAGGAGAAGGAGCTGAAGGAGCGAAACAAGCGGATCCAGGAGGACAACCGGCTGGAGCTGCAGAAGGTAGGCCGGCCGAGGGCGCGGCTGCACGGGCCCTTCACATGCTCGTCCTCCTCCGGAGGCAGAGCTGCCGGGCACGCGCCTCACCATCCGGCTCCTGTGTTGCTGCCCAGGTAAAACAGCTGCGGCTAGAGCGGGAACGGGAGAAAGCCATGCGCGAGCAGGAGCTGGAGCTGCTGCAGCGGGAGAAGGAGGCAGAGCACTTTAAGACCTGGGAGGAGCAGGAGGACAGCTTCCACTTGCGGCAGGCCAAGCTTCGGTGCGCTCCTCCCCGGCCTTCCCCTGGCCAGGGCCAGTCGTGGCCCGTGGACTCAGGAGGCAGATCCACGGGCAGTCCTGTTAAGACAGTGACGGGATGTGGGGTTCATTGTCCAGGCGCAGGGCTGTCGGACACCCCCGTCAGTCTGAACCTGGCTGGCTGGAGCCAAGGGTCAGCGCTTTCCAGGCCCGTGGGCAAGTCCTGGTGTCAGCGATCCCAGCGAGCCTCTGGCCCTGACCCTGCCACCCCGTTCCTCCCACAGCTCCAAGATCCGCATCCGTGATGGGCGGGCCAAGCCCATCGACCTGCTGGCCAAGTACATCAGCGCAGAGGACGATGACCTGGCGGTAGAGATGCATGAGCCCTACACCTTCCTTAACGGCCTCACGGTGGCGGACATGGAGGACCTGCTAGAGGACATCCAGGTACTGCTTTCCTCCGCCCCTCCCTGGGCCCTCCTTCAGTCCCCGCCGCTGGTTCACGTGCCCCTGCCCACAGGTCTACATGGAGCTGGAGCAGGGCAAGAACGTGGACTTCTGGCGCGACATGACAACCATCACAGAGGATGAGATCGCCAAGCTGCGCAAGCTGGAGGCCTCGGGCAAGGGCCCTGGTGAGCAGCGCGGGCATGAGCATCACGGGGGTGGCGCCTCGGAGGCCTTGGGCACAGCAGCAGCTGAGTGTGTCTCCTCGGGAGCCTCAGCCTTCTCCCGGGGCTCGCAGGGTCTGCGTGGGGGCGCTGCCCAGCCACCCTCCACCAGGCAGCCAGCCATCCTTGTCTGAGCTCCAGGGTGGGACAGCCGGGAACCTCGGTCCATGCTCAGCAACCTGTCTTACAGGTGAGCGCCGCGAGGGTGTCAACGCCTCGGTCAGCTCCGATGTGCAGTCGGTGTTCAAGGGGAAGACCTACAACCAGCTGCAGGTCATCTTCCAGGGCATCGAGGGCAAGATCCGTGCCGGTGGCCCCAACCTCGACATGGGCTACTGGGAGAGCCTGCTGCAGCAGCTGCGCGCTCACATGGCCAGGGCCAGGTGAGGCTGTCACAGGGCCTCGCACCTGGGTCCCTCCTCGGCCTTCATGACCACCTGGCCAGTATTTCTCTAGTGACTGTCCTCTCGACACCGGGCTGCCTGTCCTGCTGCCTCCCAGGCAGCACTCCCCTCTCTACCCGTCCACATCTCTTCCCTCTGTCCCCTCCCAGTCTGGCAAGAGAGTTGTATACAGATTCCATGCGTGTTTGGCAGCATGGTGTAAACATGACAGCTGCTGGGTTGCCTCGGTTCCTCCGGACGTCGTCCCTCACCCACGCTGTGTGGATGTCCCCCTCCCTCCCCCAGGCTCCGTGAGCGGCACCAGGATGTTCTTAGACAGAAGCTGTTCAAACTGAAGCAGGAGCAGGGCGTGGAGAGCGAGCCGCTGTTCCCCATCCTTAAGTCGGAGCCCACAGAGAGGTGACGGGTGGGTGGGGGACCCTGTAGGGACGAGCTGGAGCACCCCCAGCAGGACGGGCCTCACCCCTCCTTTCACCGTCTCGTGCAGCCCCGAACCTGAGGAGCGGCCCCCTAGCCCCGGGACTTCCGTGGAACCCGTGGAACCGGTGGAACCCGAAGAGACCACAGCACCAGGGGAGGGAGAGGGGGAGGCCGATGGCGAGGCGGTCCTGATGGAGGAGGACCTGATCCAGCAGAGCCTGGCGGACTATGATGCCGGCCGCTACAGCCCGCGCCTGCTCACGGCACACGAGCTGCCTCTGGACGCGCATGTGCTGGACCCGCACGAGGACCTGCAGCGCCTGCAGCTGTCTCGCCAGCAGCTTCAGGCTACAGGTAGGGGCTAGCCCAGACTGGGGGTCCGGGGGCGGGGCGGGACCGGGAGGAGTGCGGGCGCTCGGCTGAGCCCTCTGCCCTCACAGGTGATGCGAGCGAGAGCGCGGAGGACATCTTCTTCCGGCGTGCGAGGGAGGGCATGGGGCAGGACGAGGCGCAGTTCAGCGTGGAGATGCCGCTGGGCGGCCGCGCCTACCTGTGGGCCGACAAGTACCGGCCGCGCAAGCCGCGCTTCTTCAACCGCGTGCACACGGGCTTCGAGTGGAACAAGTACAACCAGACGCACTACGACTTCGACAACCCGCCGCCCAAGATCGTGCAGGGCTACAAATTCAACATCTTCTACCCGGACCTCATCCGCAAGCGTGCCACGCCCGAGTACTTCCTGGAGGCCTGTGCGGACAACCGGGACTTCGCCATCCTGCGCTTCCATGCGGGCCCGCCCTACGAGGACATCGCCTTCAAGATCGTCAGCCGCGAGTGGGAGTACTCGCACCGCCACGGCTTCCGCTGCCAGTTCGCCAACGGAATCTTCCAGCTCTGGTTCCACTTCAAGCGCTACCGCTACCGCCGGTGACGCCGGTGGGCTGCCGCCCTGCCAGCCTGGCCTGCCCAGCTCCTGGGTGGGAAGGCCGAGAGGACCAGGAGGCCTCCTCAGGAGCCTTGGGGATCCGTGGGCCACCTCTGGGCTTCAGCCGCCAGCACTGTGCTGGCCGCAGCCCCTCTGGCAGGTCCCTGCCTGTCGTGAAAGGATTTTTAACTGTTCTTGGAGAGACTGTTTGAGGCGACAGGAACGTCTTGTTTCCATGGACTTGTTCAACCGTGGAACCCCATGTAGTTTTGATACATTTAATAGAAAGTTTATTCTAAAACGGCTTCTGATCAGAGTCACAGTGCAGATAGCACACCCAAGTGGCTGAGGGAGGCTCAGGGCTCGGGGTCTCCTCTGCCCCACCCGACCCCGAGGCCACTACTATCTGGGGAGACGTGGCTGTCACCACTGGGGTAGGTCCTAGTTTGTTCCCAGTGGAGGCCAAGGACACTGTTTGGCAGCCCAGATCCGCCACCAGGTGTCACCCATTGGCAAGGTCATGTCATCCCCAGCCCCTAATTCCGTGGCCTCTGCCTCGGCCTGAGAATGCAGCAAGACACACACCCGTCCAAGTGAGACTACTGCAGCCCCAAAGCAGCCCTGTTGCCCAGGGAGCCAGTGACTAACGGCCTCTGCTGTGAACACTCACTCAGCCCCAGAGGTCCCACCAGGGCAGAGCCAGGACATCGAGCTTAGGAGACACAGCACATAGTGGCATGTTGGGCCTCAGTTTCTCTGCCTGGGCTACAAGGGGTCCATCCTCTTCCCCAGTACACTGTGAAGTCTCCTGCCTGCTGGCTTCCCCTGTGTGCAGGGTCCCGGCCTGCAGAGAGGCAGAGCTGGGGAAGGAGCATGGAGGTTAGGGTACCTCACAGGCCCTGCCTTGTGGAAGGGCGGCCAGCCAGCCCAGGGCACTGGGGCGCCGGGCAGGAATGCCGACCCCATGCTCCGACCTCTCCCTGTGCACACATGGACGCTGGTGTCCCGGAAGCTGCCCCCAGCTCCCACTCAGCCTTTTCCTTCCGATGGCTGTGTCCTTGGCTAAGAATAGGCTCTACGGCCTGGCCCCCAGCCTCCGCGGAAGCCACAGCCACAGGGGGTAGGTCCTGAACCTCAGCTCCCACCCCAGCAGCCTCGAGCCACATTCCTCCCTGACAGTGTGGCTGGGAGCCATGGCCAGGAACTGCAGCCCCAGGCCACACCTGATGGTCGAGCGTGGGCTCTGTCACACTTCTGCCTCCGTGTCACCTCCACACAGCAAAGTTGAATGTCCTTCGGCCATTGCCTGAGTCTCTGGACCAAATGTGCCCTAATCTCAGTCCAAGGGACAAAGGAAGAATGTACAACAGCCTCTCTGCTCCCAGCCCATCTGCATCAGAGCCAGCCCCATGTCCTCACCACCAAACACACCTGCCAGCACCTTTTATCCCAGGCCAGAACACCTATTCATCCCATAAAACCCCAATCTTTATACCCTTGCCCCACAGCATTGATTCTTAGCCAGATGTTGAGAAAGTAAGGACGCTTGCCTCAGCGGCCCAGAGCACAGAGACCTGGGGTGGTCTGTGTCCATTTCTGTCCCTAGCTTATGGGATGGATAGTCAGGGCAGGCCCAGCTTGGAAACACTACAGAGTCCTCACCAGGGAAGAAGCAGGTCAGGGCTCAGGACTGGAGGGTGGGAAGGGTGGGAAGGGCCCTCAGGAGTGGGAGACAGGAAGGGTGGGGGTGGTGCAGCAGGCAAGGGCCTTCCTGTTGCTGACAGGAGTCTGGCTGACCCTGGGCAGACGCTGGAACTGGGAGGTTAGGGTCACAGCCAGGCCAGGCATCTCAGTCCCCACCAGTACCTGTCAGGGACAAAGAGGCCCAAGGTTACCTCCTCTACCTAGGTCTGTCCCCGCCTCAAGCCACACAAGGCACAGGACTAACACCCCCTGCCTGGCCCAGGCATCCCAGGCAACTGTCAGGGCTTCCGGCAGTGGGTCTGCAGGGGAGGGTTCCCCAAGACTCCGTCTCCAGGGGACAGCCTGGTCTACCCCTCCCCCACCGCAGCCCTCCTTTGGCCCCTGCAGTCGGGCTGGAGCCGGCCTTGCGATCCCAAGACCCCTGGGAGGCCAAGACCCCTGGGAGGCGCAGGGACAGCCACGGTGCGGGTCAGTCACTGCCGGGCCAGGACCAGCCCTGTCTGGCCTCTCAGCTCTTCCCACTTGGGGGTTGTCAACGGATGTCTCTTCTCTGTCACCCTGTGCCCTGCCTGGTTCCCACCCTTGCAAGGCACCCGGCTGAGGGGCGAGGCCAGCACAGGGGGTGGGGCTGGCGAGACTGGCAGAAAGGCAGATGAAGACAGGGCGGGACGGGAAACAACCGCAGTCACAGCCCTCCGGCCCTGGGCTCCTCAGGGTCCCCAGGGCTCCTGCTGGGGCCTTTCCTCAGCCAACTCCCCTCCCTGCTCTCCGCCTGGCCTGGAACACCACAGACACCTGGGGACAGATAGCACAGATGAGTCCCCCGCCTCCGTAATGTGACTTTACACCACTGTGCCCAGGTAAGCCTCTTCATGCCTGGGGAGCCCAGATCCACTAACCACTCTGCTGTGGCCTGTTCATTGGGGGTGTGATGATTGCGTCCGGAACCCAAGTTCCCTGAAGGGGATCCTGGGGTGTGACCTTTACTCAGGTGGTCTAGCCAGGACAAGTGCAGTTCCCTGGTGGCACATGGGTACACTGGTTTTCTGTGTCTGGGCAAGGCCAGCAAAGATGCCCTGGCAGCGATGAAGATGGGGATGGGATGCGGGGTGTGGCCTGGTACACAGGCTCAGCTCAGAGACTGCGCCTCCTCCATGGCATGTGTCTGTCCTATGCAGAGGGGACGTCCATCCAACACACCAGGGAGCAGGCCTAGGTGGCCCCTCCCAGCCCACCGCCACAGGATAACACCTGCACGCTGGAGCTGCGCACAAACAGGAAGCAGGCAGTGGGAGGAACCGTGTGTGGTGAACCTGAGAGCCTGTGGGGTTGTGGGACACACACACTGAGTGTTTGGGGTGTTGGCAGAGCAGTCTGCTGGGCACAGCTCAGGACAAGGCTCAGCCTCAGGAGCCCATAAGGAGAAAGCCACAAGAGGGGGGGCAAATTTATTACACGGGGGAAACTGAGGCTGTGTAGGGAAGTCATGGGTGACGGAGGTCATGGGTGGCAGAGGTGTGGGGAGCCCAGGCCGCTCTCAGGCCTGGTGGGGAGGCTTGTTGGAGATGGATGAGCCGGGAGGAGGAGGAGGGGCCTGGTCCGCAGAGCCCAGCCACACACCGCATTCCACCCAGGCTGGAACGCAGCCACCCAGCCTGGGCCTCAAGGAATGGGGACCAGTGTCTCAGGGCACACATTTACAAGGATGAGGCCCCATCCCAGACAACACCACTGCCTATCACCCCCAACAGTGGGGACATGGCTCAGGACCACCCCACATCCCAGTGACTCAGGACAGGGAAGCTTCCAGAACCCTCCAGCTCCCTGCTGTTCAAAGCCAGGGTGTGGTGGTCTGCGCCTGTCCCCCAGCAGAAGCTGGGGGCAGACGGAGCTCAGTGAGTTCCAGGCCAGCCTGGGCTACACAGTCAGTCTGCATGAGGACAGACAGAATTCCTGAGCCTTGAAATCCTCGGGCCCAAAGTTCCCTGCTCCAAGGCTGTGGAACCTGATGGGGTGCAGAGACACCCCAAGTAAGTCTCCCAAGACCACACAGCATGGGCTGCTGGCCAGCATGGGAGCTGCCAGGCCTGCCTCGGGTCTCGCCTAGGCTGCCTGAGCTGCCTATTATCACTTGAAGCCCAGAGGAGGAAGGGAGGGACTGGAAACTGCCATCCATCCTTGATGCTGCCTTCCAACTTCCCTGGGCCAAAGAGCTGGGGAGTGGGCTTGTTCCTAGGCGCAGCAGTCTTGAGGGACCTGGTGTCCTTGGCGGGGCTGGACGGAGGAGGGGCCAGCCGCCAATGAAGCCTGCCCTGAGAAACTGAGCATCAGTCCTGGGACCTAGCACAGAAACTCAAAGATGTGCACAGCACCTCAGAGCCAGAGGGATGCCATCCACTAAGCCGCCACCCTGCCCTCATCCCTGAGCCTCAGTTTCTCTCCTGGATTCTCCTCTGGATGGTACAGGCCCAGCCAGGCAGTGGCTTGGAGTAAGGCCTCTTCAGGGGAGCATGGAGGCAGCACCTACTAGGCTGCGTATACCTGCATAGATCATTCTGTATTGCATAAATTAAATACCTACTGTGTGCCAGATGTAGGCGCAAGAAATAATTGTTGTCAGCATCAGCTGTCTTTGCCAGAGAAGAAGCTGAGGCACTCTGTGGGGGATATGGGGACAAAAACAGAGGAAGCTCCCTGAACCCTGGGTGACCAAGTGTTAGAACCCTGCAGCTAAGCGGGAGGGAGAAAGAGAAAGGCAAGGGCTGGCGAGGTGGCTGCAGCCAAGCCTGACAATCTGAGTTCAATCTCCCAAGACCCCGTGGTGAAAGGTGAGAGCTAACACCCACCAAATTGTCCTCTGACCCACTCCACACACACCGGACTGTACGTGTGCCCTTGCACGCCCCCACACATGTGTGAATGATGTAAATTTTTAAAAGCTAAGAAATAAGGCCAAACATGGTTCATACCAAGAATCTGAGACATGGAGGGTTAGCGTGAAGTGAATTGTCAGCCTGGGCTGCACAGGAACGCTGGGCTGTGCTGCTGCCTGTCTCGGGTCCCTGGCCCTGAGCCTTCTTTTTTTCTTTTCCTTCCTCCTCTCTCTCCCTCTCTCTCTCTCTCTCTCTCTCTCTCTCCCCCCCCACCCCCCCCCCCCCCCCCCCCCCCACCCTCCCTCCCTCCCTCTCTCTCTCTCTCTCTGTTTTTTAAACTCGAAACAATCCTCCTGCCTCAGCCTTCCCGGTGCTGCAAAGGATTTTATTGTTGAATAGTATCACTTTTAGATGAGCCCATATCCAGCCTCGGTTCTGTGATATTTGTCCCTGCACACCCCCCCTTCCTGCCCCACACCGGTCTCTGCTGGAGTCCTCCCCGGGGACATGTCGCCATCGGGCTGTTTTTTCATTCCCAAAATGGAGCGGGAACTTCTGTGTCCATTTCTTATAAAAGTGACGTCAGGGAAGAGGAGGAATGGTCCAGTGGGAGCGTCGGGGCAGGTACCAAACCCTGGCCAGAACGAGTGTGCCCACAACCTCACAGGCTAGATTATAATAGATCGGGAAACTGAGGCCACGCAGTGCGTACACGGACTGGAACTCCAACCTGGGGTGCAGGGTGTCAGAACACGTTTCTGTCATTCCAGCTCCTCAGGAGGCTTTGGCAGGACCACTTAAAGCTCCAGGCCAACTGGGCCACTTCACAGGGTCACAAGCAGTCGCGGGACCAACAGTGGTCAGACAGTCAAAGGCTCCCTCAAAGAAAGGATATTTTGTTCCTGGGGCATTGAAGTCTCTGTAGGAGTTCTCCACGGGCGCTCGAGTCCTGCTTATCAGCTCACCTTGTCTTCCAGGTACGCCGGAGCCAGCGCCAGCCCACTGTTCCAGCCACCGGCGTCTGATGGGGTGCTGACCCCCTTGCCACGTCAGGCTCAGGAGCCATGTGGCCCAACGGCACCTCGCTGGGGGTCTGCTTCCGCCCGGTGAACATCACGCTGCAGGAACGGCGTGCCATCGCGTCACCATGGTTCGCTGCATCCTTCTCCACGCTGGGCCTGGGGTCCAACCTGCTGGCGCTGAGTGTGCTGGCCCGGGCGCGCCCCGGCGCGGGGCCCCGCTCCTCCTTCCTCGCTCTGCTGTGCGGCCTCGTCCTCACCGACTTCCTGGGGCTGCTAGTCACCGGCGCCATCGTGGCGTCGCAGCACGCTGCCTTGTTGGACTGGCGAGCCACTGACCCCGGCTGCCACTTGTGCCACTTTATGGGCGCGGCCATGGTGTTCTTTGGGCTGTGTCCCCTGCTCCTGGGGGCCGCCATGGCCGCCGAGCGCTTCGCGGGCATCACACGGCCCTTCTCACGACACACGGCCACGACGCGCCGCGCGTGGGCCACCGTGGGGCTGGTGTGGGTGGCGGCCGGGGCCCTCGGGCTGCTGCCACTGCTGGGGTTCAGCCGCTACAGTGTGCAGTACCCCGGCTCCTGGTGCTTCCTGACGCTCGGGGCGCAGCGCGGCGACGTGGCCTTCGGGCTCATGTTCGCACTCCTGGGCAGCGCATCCGTGGGACTGTCCCTCCTGCTCAACACCGTGAGCGTGGCCGCGCTCTGCCGCGTCTACCACACGCACGAGGCCACGCAGCGCCCGCGGGAGATGATGGTTCAGCTCGTGGGCATCATGGTGGTGGCCACGGTATGCTGGATGCCCTTGCTGGTGAGTCCCGACGTTCGAGCCCCTCTACACACGCGCACGCGCGCACACAGACACACAAACGCGCACAGACACACACACACGGCTATGTGAGGATCCTCTTAGTCCTGGGGTTCAGATCTTTGGGGCTTTGGAGATCTGCAGGGTGTAACAGGAAAAACTTGTGGGGTTGTGTGTTCTGGAGTAGGGCTTTGAAAAATGAGTAAGAGTTCACCTGCTAGACAATGCTGAGGAAAAGCTTCTAGACAGAGTGGCTGGATAACTGGGTGTCACTGCTTCTTCCTGCACCACAGACCCCAGGCTTGTGGAGATGTCCTGCTGGGAGCATGGAGCCCAGCTGGTAGGACTTTAACGTGGGCACAGGTCTTTGTTCTGTTTCTGCCTTGTTCCTTCAGCAAACATTTACGGCGTGCCATCTGTACCCAGGCTCCCCAGCACAAAGGCGACTTCCCTCTGGGAGAGAGGTGTGTGGTCTAGGCTCTCAGAGCTGTCTCAAGCCGCTGGGGCGACTTGGCTAGACCCTGTCTAAAATAAAATGTAAACCGGGCATGAAGACACGTGCCTTTAATCCCAGCCCTCAGGAGGCAGAGGCTGGAGGATCTCTGAGTTCAAGGCCAGCCTGGTCTACATGGTGAGATTCTGTCTCAAGAAAAAAAAAATCAATAAAAAGGAGAATGTTGGAGACTGGCTTCGGGTAGATTCCTGCCTCCAAGTTTACTTTCTAAACCTCAGTCTAAGTAGGACTTGAGCTCAAAGCCTGTACTCCTTCTAGGCCCAGAAGAGGCAGCAGCTCAGAGAGGTCGCCCACTGCTCCAGGGTCACACAGCACAACCCTCTGCCCCTGCAGGTCTTCATCGTGCAGACCTTGTTGCAGACACCGCCTGTCATGAGCCCCTCTGGGCAGCTGTCTCGGGCCACTGAGAAGCAGCTGCTTATCTACCTGCGTGTGGCCACCTGGAATCAGATTCTGGACCCCTGGGTCTACATCCTCTTCCGCCGGTCTGTGCTACGGCGCCTGCATCCACGATTCCGTTCACAGCTCCAGGCTGTGTCCTCACACCAGCCCCCAGCCCAGGCCATGTTCAGTGGACCCTGAAGGACGGTGACACTCAAACCGAGGTGCTTGGTGACTGCCATCAACCTGTGCCCTGTCCCAGGAGCCTGAGTGCTTGCTGGACTAAGCTACTACGGCAGGGTCTGACTCCTGTGAACTGCAAAGATACCTCCTCGATGCTGGGGAGGTCCTCCCTGGCCCCCTCCCCTGTCAACTAGGAGGCCAGGGCACATGTTAGAGACCCCTTGCAGGAATCTTGGGTTACACCTGGGGTGCTGGTAGCGTCTCCCACTTTGCCAATGTGCAGGTCTGAGATGTGGAGCTTCACATTCCCCCAGGCTCAAGGATCACCAACCTTGGGTGTTAGAAGCACCCACTGTGGTCCCCGTAGCTGGGTCTGGGGTCACCAACCTCTCCAGTGTTTACTGAGCCTCCTTCCCCCATGGCTGTCCAACACACTGCTCAATAAATGGTTGAATGTCCAGGTTCTGGAGTATTAGGTATACAGCAGGCGCTCAGCCAGGCATCCCTCTGTCCCTTTGCCTCCCTATTCCACAGCTCCAAGAAAACCACAGTCAAGGGGGGCTGGAGGCTGGGAAGGTGTAGGCTCCTTTATTCCCCACCGTCTCCCAGGAACCTCCCACCCCTGTGCCTTCTGTGACTGGATCTTCTTACAGGGGCTTTGGGGTTCGCAGCCAGCACTCTGACACCCAAGCCTCAGTTTCTGTCCTGCACTCCTGCTAGGATGAGTCAAGTCACTGGCTGGGGTGGGGGAAGAGATCCAGACCCGGGGGAGGGGCTAGGAGTGACACATATGGGGGTGGGGGTGTTGGGCTTCTGGCATCCCAGCTGGGGCTTGGGAAAAAGGGCTGGCTTCTGAGGGGTGTCTGGGACTGATGACCCAGGGCTCAGGAGGGAGGGTGGGGGGCCTGGCCTGGGCCCTGCTGTGGCTTGGGTTCCATCTTGAGGCCAAGGCCCAGTGTCCTTGCTCAGGGCAGGGGTGAGGGCTCTGGGGGTCGGTGGGCTTAAAGACTGAGGTCGGGCCAGGGTCTCAGGCTCCTTTATAGGCTCAAGGCCAGGGGTCTGTGGGCGGTGACTGTCTCTAGAGCTGAGGGGGCAGGATCCCGTGCTGGGCTGCTTTCCAGAACTGCCGGGGCTGGGGCTGGGGCTGGGGCCTGGCTGGCTCCTGGAACTGGAATCCTTCGCAGCACTGGGCTGGGCTCCAGCGTGTGACGGAACCTGAGGACTGAATTGGGTTCTCAAGGCCGAGTGGGCCCCAGAGCAAAGCCACTGTCCTATGTCCTGCTGGGGGACATAGCTGGCTCTAGCTGTCACCAGGTGCTGGTTTCTGCCCCCAGAACTAGAGAGGGACCTGGAGCTGGGCTCTTTCTCTGCCAATGGCTGTAGCTGGGACCTTCGATGTCTGGCCCAACCAGCATGGGCTCCGGAGCTAGACCATGCCTGGAAGTCGGTCTGGGTCCCAGAGTCTGAGTGTGCCCTGGAGCCTGCACGCCATCTTCTGGGTGGGGTGGGGTTGGCACCCGGAGACATCCCGGAGCTGGGCCTCATTTCAGGAGTACGTGGCGTTTGGGAGTGGGGCTCTGCTATTAGAGCAGTCTTGCTCCCGCCCCCTGGCTGGGCCTCGGAGTCGGACTCATCACCGGGGCTAGCCTGGAGTGCAGGGCGTAGGGAGGCTCTGGCAGGCAGCTGTGCTGGGGTGCAGGGCTGAGATCTGAGTTTGGACCGGGCAGCAGTATGGCTCTGGGTGCCTGCACTAGGTGGAGGTGTGGAAGATCGCTGGCTACTCGAGCCTGCTTGGGTTCCGTCAGCCAGTGGTTTGCTGGGCGTTGCTTGGGGTCCCAAGCTAGCCATTCCCCCTGAACCACTCCAAGTATCAGGGAAGAGCCAGACCATGGTGGTGGCTGTCTCATACCTGGGCTGGCTCTCGGAACCTGGCTTCTGAGACTGGCAGCTGGGATGGTGCTCTGAGCCCAGCTGTATCTTAACGTTTGTCTTGGTTCCGGAGTGTGGCTGTGGGGCAGGGTGTGGCTGCATTCTGGAAGGCTGGGGGTCAGTCATGACCTGGGCTTCAGCATCAGGGCTGGGCCCAGTGTCTGACCAGGCTCTAGGGCATGGCTTCCTATCTGGGTGAGTTTGTGTTCTAGAACCAAGGCCATCCTCAGAGCCTGCCTGTGTTCTAGAAGTGGGCTTGGTCTCTGAGCAGAAGTTGACCTGAGGAGGGCTGGCTTGGATACTAAGTCGGGAGTGAGCTTCAGAATGGAGCATGGCCTCGGAGCCAGCCTGGGTTCTAGGGATGGGCTGGCAGTCAGATTTAGGATGGGTTTTAGAACAGGGCTCAAGCCTGGGGCTGCTCTGAGTTCCAGAGCTAGCCTGAGCCTCGGGGCCAACATGTGTTCCGGAGTCAGACTGTACCCCAGAACTAGGCTGGGGTCTAAAGCCTGGCTGGACTTCAGAGACAACCAGGGTTACAGAACCAAGCTGGGCCTCTAGGTGGGCCTGGGTCACAGAACTGGGTCGGGTTCTAGAGCTGCCCTGGGCTTCAATTTTGGTTTTCGAACAGGACTGAAGTTCAGGGCTGACCAGGGATTCCAGCTGGGTCTCAGAGCTGAACTGGGTGCTAGAATCAGGCTGGGCCTTGGGATGGGCCTGGGTCACAAAATGGGTTCTAGAGCTGGGCAGGACATCAATTTTGGTTCTAGAGCAGGACCTGGCCTTGGGGCTAACATGGGTTGTAGAACCAGGCTGGGATTCTGACTGGGTGCTAGAACCAAGCTGAGCCTCGGGGTGGGTCTGGGTCAAAGAACTGGGTTGGGTTCTAGAGCTGGACAGGACCTCAATATTGCTTCTAGAGCTGTACTGGGCCTCCTGGACAACCTGGGTTCCAGAACCGGGATGGGGTTCCGGCTGGGTCTCAGAGCCGAACTGGGTGCTAGAACCAGGCTGGGCCTCTGGGTGGGCCTGGATCTCAGAACTGGGTTGGGTTCTGGTGGCGGGCCGTGTCTCAGGTCTGTCCTGGGTTCTGGAGTGGCGCTGGGGCAGGGGGCTGGGCCCAGGACTAGAGACTCCTACACACGTTAGCCACAAGCGTCGTGAGCCTCGCCAATGGCTGCCCACACCTCCACCACAAACTCGTCTGGAAAGGCGAACTCGCCCAGAACGGCGTCCAGGCCGCGTGCGAAGGCCTGGGCTCCTGCCGAGCTCCGAGCAGTCTCCACCACCGCGGCCGCTGCGGGACCAGGCGGACAGAGGGACAGGATGGGCAAGCAAACGGGATGGACGGGCAGATGGAGGGACAGGGAGAACAGACAGACTGTGAGCTCGGGCGCATGCTCCCGCCTACCACCACCCTCCCGTACCGGGGACTCCGCGCTTACCCGCGCCGCTTACCCAGCTCGGGGTCTCGGATGCCCATGTAGCTTTCCAGCAAGTCGTCCACCCTGCGCGCTGCTGCCGCTTCCGCGTCGCTGGGCTGCGGACAGGTGAATGACCCGGTGGGTGAGTGACAGGCTGGAGGCCCCGCCCACTAGTGGTTGCTGGGGTAGGAGCTGTGGGACCCCCGCCTCCGAGAATTGACAGGGTTGTGGTTGCTAGGGGTGACGCCTTCCCAATTGATAGTGGGGAGGGGCTGGGTGACCCGCCCCAGGAGTGGTAGATAAAGGGATAGGAGACGCTTTCTTCATTGGTGTAGCCGATGGTCCTGTGCCCTGACACCAACCATGGTCATTAAAAAGAGGTGAGAGGAGGAAACAGAGGTCTGGGTGGGAGGGGTAAAGAGATGAGAGAGAGGGGTGATGGATGTACTCGAACACACTTGAAAAAAATCTCACAAGGACGTTACCTAGTACAGTTAATACACAGAATCACAATTAGCAAGGCGCCCCGCTCCGTGAGACTCTCGCTCACAGGCGGTCAAGCTCTGGAACCCTCGTAAAGGTGGAAGTGACAACTGCTCCCCAAGTGTCCTCTGAACTCCACCCTCCTGTCCACGCACTTTCCCACACGTGCACACACAAAATAGACAAGCAAAAGAAAATAAAACAATAAAGAAATGCCGTTTAAAAATTTAGAGTTGGGGAGTAAGGAAGATATTAACCTTTGACCTCTGTATGCATACACACAGTGCAAAAAATACCCAATAATAATGTTAGAGGTCACATCAGTCCCTCCTGCTCCTCAGCCAGGAACAGGCGCACCCCTTGGCCTCTGTGACCTGGAGCTGTTCCTCTTGTCCCATTCTCCAGCCCGTACCCACTGCACAAGCTGGGAAACAGCTGCTCTGAGAACAGGGTCTTTATCTTTTTGACACAGGATTCTGCTCAGAGGTTCAGGCTAGCCTTGAACTTGTGACCATCCTCCTGCCTGACCCTCCCGAATGCAGGGAACAGGCCTGATTGCCATTAGCACCGTGAGCTTGACAAGTGTCAACTGACCGTCCCAACAGCCACTCACCACCTCCTCCACAGTGGCAGCGCCCCCGGAGCGCAGGCGCAGGGTCTCCCTCCCGCTGCTCACTCTAGCTTCCACGGAACACTTGCTGCTCCTGCTCCTTTGGCCAATCATATCTGGAGGGGACAAAGCGGTGACAGATGTGTTCCGGTTTGTGTGGACTGTTTTTCATGTTTTCTTTTGCCAGCAGGGTCTTCCTCTGTAACCCAGGCTGACCTTGAACCCAAGGTTAGCATGCCTTAATCTCGTGAGGGCTGTTGAAAGATTTAGGGGTTCCGGGCGGTGGTGGCGCACGCCTTTAATCCCAGCACTTGGGAGGCAGAGGCAGGCGGATTTCTGAGTTCGAGGCCAGCCTGGTCTACAGAGTGAGTTCCAGGACAGCCAGGGCTACACAGAGAAACCCTGTCTCAAAAAACCAAAAAAAAAAAAAGAAGAAGAAAGAAAGAAAGACTTAGGGGCTGGGGTGTGGTGGGGGTAGAGCCCCACCTAAAACCCCCCAGTGAGGGGCTTGGGGTGTGGTCAGGGTGGAGCCTCCACGTAGACTCTGCCAGCGATGAGTTGTGGGAGTGGTCAGGGTAACCCTCAGTCTAGGGAAGGAGCTGAGGAAATGGTGAGGGGGTGCATCCCCGCTTAGAATCCCCCATTGAGGGTTTTGGGTTGTGGTCAATGTCGGGGGTCCTGGAGGTGTATATTATTCTTTCCCTAAGAGACCCTGAGTGATATCTGAGCACGTGTGTGGCTGTCCCACCTCGGGGAGCTCCTGACCAAGAGTGACTGGAGGTCAGGAACATTGTTCAGCGCCTTGAAGAGCCTGGACCCTACACAGAAAGCACCCCAAAATGGTGCTCACATCGCCAAGTGAGAAACTTTTCTAGAAGCACTCCCCCCCCTTCTCATCCCAGGGTCCCTGGAGCACTGTCCTGGAGCACTGTGTGGAAGTCATTGCACAGCAGGACAGGGTGAGAGGTTCAGGGCCATCCTTGGGTACACACTGAGTCTGAGGGAAGCTTGGGCTAG